TCCAATCCATGAGCACAGAATATTTTTCCATTTCTTTGTATCTTCTTCAATTTCCTTCATAAGCTTTCTATAGTTTTCAGCATACAGATCTTTTACACCTTTGGTTAGGTTTATTCCTAGGTTTTATGCTTCTTGGTGCAATTGTGAATGGGATCAGTTTCTTTATTTGTCTTTCTGTTGCTTCATTGTTAGTGTATAAGAATGCAACTGATTTCTGTACATTGATTTTGTATCCTGCGACTTTGCTGAATTTGTGTATCAGTTCTAGCAGACTTTGGGTGGAGTCTATCGGGTTTTCCATGTATGATATCATGTCATCTGCAAAAAGTGAAGCTTAGAGAAGTCCTTTATATTTGTACATGTAAGGGGAAATTTCTTGGCCTTGAGCTGAAAGTCAATTTCCAAAAGAAATCACTATTAATCAACCAACTCTCCAATTTAAAAAACCCTAAATGAAAACAGACCGCTATCATGCAGAGGTGGTTCAGTTTTGTTCTCTATTGTTATTTTTTGACTGAAGTATACTATACAACATTCTATTATTTTCAGCTGTACAACACAATATTTCAACATTTGTATGCATTGAAAAATTATCACCACAGTAAGTCTAGTTACTGTGTGTCACCATATAAAATTCCAAGTTTTTTTCTTATAATAGGAAACTTTATGATTTACTTTCTTAGCATATTTCAAACTTGCAATACAATATTATTCCCTATATTCACTATTCTGTATATCACATTCCCATGACCTATTTATTTTATAATTAAACATTTGTACCTCTTGATCCTCTTCACTCATTTTACTCATTGCCCAAATCCCTGCCTTTTGGCAACCACCAATCTATTCTCTGTATTTGTGAGTTTTGTTTTGCTTTGCTTTGTTCATTTTTTTGTTTACTCCACATGTAAATGAAATAATATGGTATTTGTCTTTCTCTGTCTTACTTCAGTTAGCATAATACCCTCTAGGCCCATCTGTATTGTCACAAATAGCAATATTTCATGTTTTTTCATGGTTGAGTCATATGCCTGTGTGTGTGTGTGTGTGTGTGTGTGTGTGTGTGTGTGTGTGTGAATGTACCACGTCTTCTTTATCCACTTATCCATTGTTTTGGACACTTAGGTTGTTTCTATACCTTGGCTATTATGTGAATAATGTTGCAATGAACATAGGGTGCATATATCTTTTTGAGTTATTATTTTTTATTTCCTTTGCATAAATACCCATAAATGGAATTGCTGGATCATATGGTAGTTCTATTTTCAATTTTTTCAGGAACCTCCATACTGTTTTCCATAGTGATTGCACCAATTTACATTCCCACCAACAGTGCACAAGGGTTCTCTTTTCTCCACATTCTCACCAACACTATGATCTTTTTGATCACAGCCATTCTAACAAGTGTGAGGGGACATCTCATTGTGGTTTTGTTTGCATTTCCCTGGTAATGACTGCTATTGACAATCTTTTCATGAGCCTATTGACCTTCTGCATGTCTTCTTTGGGAAAAAAAATCTATTCCTATCTTATGTCCATTTTTTAATCAGATTTTTTTTTTGTTATTGAATTGTATGTGTTCTGTATATATTTTGGATATTGGCCCCTTACCAGGTATACAGTTTATAAATATTTTCTTCCATTAAGTATATTGCCTTTTTTATTTTGTTGACAGTTTCCTTTACTATGCAGAAACTTCTTAGTTTGATGTAGTCCCATTTGCTTATTTTTGCTTTTGCTGCCATTGTCTTTGGAGCCAGATTTAAAAAAATATTGCCAAGAGTGATGTCAAGGAGCTTACTGTCTATATTTTCTTCTAGGATTATTATGGCTTATGGTCTTACATTCAAGTCTTTAATCCATTTTGAGTGAATTTTTGTGTATGCTGCAAAACAGTGATCCAATTTAATTCTTTTTCACGTGGCTGTCTGCCCTGTTTTCTGAGCACCATTTATAGAAGAGACTGTCATTTCTCCTCTGTTGTTGTCTTTTGAGCACTTAAAATTATGAAACAAATTCAGATCTATAACACTTCTCAACTCTGGTTTGATAGCCCTTTAGCCTAACAGTGCCCTCTTCTGGTTTTATGATTCACATTCACCTATTTCATCTGTGTTAAAAACATAACAAAACAAAACAAAACAAAAGCTTAACTGTTAATGGAAAAAATGATGGGTAAAGGTCATTTTGAAACCTAGCTGTAAAAGGCTTTGGTTTTCCATTTTAACATAACAAAAACAAACAAAAATCCAGTTGGGAGTACAATGGTGGTTACCAAGGACTGGGGAAAGGGGAAAAGGGGAAGGCACTGTTTAATGAGTATGAAAAAATTCTGGAGATTGGTTGTACAACATTGTGAATATACTTAACACAACTAAACTATACATTTAAAAATGATAAAAATGATAAACTTTGTGATTTTTTACCACAATTAAAAATAAAAATAAATAAATCCAGTTGAGGTATAAATAGTCCAGGTTGATGGCAGCAGCTTAAGTTGGAACTGTTTTCACAAGTCAAATGTTTACCATAAATCAAACACACCTGGATTTGATATAATTTTTAATTCCTGTCATTTTACTAAAATGGGCAATGTTTATCTTAATTTACTAAAACTATAGCTATAAAATAACTTAATTTCAACTTTTACTCTTAAAGTCTTTCATCTTGCAGATAATAAAATATTCTGCAGTACAAAAAAATAACAGTAAGGTTTGACTTATTCAAATGGGTATAAGGGATAACATCTACTGAAATAAAGAAGACTAGGGAAGGAGCAAGTTTGGAGGGTTGGGATAAACCAATGGTTCTAAGAGGGGATGATTTTGCCTTCTGAGGGACATTTGGGAGCGTCTGGAGACATTTTTGTTTTTCACAGTTGGGAGTGGTATGGAGGTGCTACTGATGTATGTTGATATACTGCTAAACATCCTACAATGCACAGGGCAGTCCCCCACCACAAAGAGTGATCTGGCCTCAAATGTCAATAGTGCCAAGAGTGAGTAACCCTAAATTAGAATCCTTTCCTCTGACTTTAGCCACTGTTTCTCAGGCTTTGCAGCAGTTTATTCTTCTTCTGTCTATAATTACACAGTATTCTGTCTTTAGCTGACTTCCTTTTTCCTCTATATTTTCTCTTGAGGATACCATCTATTCCCATGACATCACCTACCAGGTCTATGTTAGTGACTGCCACATCTGTTAAGTCTAGTCCCAACTACTTTTCTAAATCTAGAGCATTGTTTCTCTTAATTTCCCTTCACATGTTTTCACTAACCCACTGCTACAATATTTTTATTAGTGGCATCTGGTAGAAAACCACAGGGTCACTTATTTCCTAAACATTTACTGAGTATCTAGTTTGTGTAAAGGGCTGCACTGGTACTTAGAGGAAGGTAGTGATGGTGGAAATGAGAGGCAATCATGGTTAATAAGTACTTTAAATGCATGATCCCTAATTATGGCAATAGTTCTACAAGGAAGAAATTACTATTTCCTGGAAACCATAGCTCTAAATGTTTAATCGGCTACTTAAATATCACAGGGCTTGTAAGTAACAGAGTATTTTAAAAGTCAGTTCTATTTTGACATTAAGGATTGAACTCTTTCCATTAAAAAACACTGAGGACAGTGCTGTAAAACCGTGGTCTATTTTGTACATAGCCAAAGGGGAATGGATGTGAATGCTGAAGGTCTAAGAAGTTCCAGTAGCCTTTTCTTCTAAGCCATATCACACCCATTTCTTACCATATATCATATATATATCATATATCTTATTACCATATATCAATGAATATAATACACCAGTAGTAAGATGAATTATTTTTTCCATAACTCTAAGAAAACAAAAACTTTGCCCATTAAAGTATGGCATTCCATCGAGATTTAGATTTATTAACTGAGATTTTATAGATGTTGAAACATTAAAAATCATTAGACATTTTAAAAAGTAAGCCTTCAGAGATTTCTAATTTGTTAAAATATGAAGAAAAGTGTAACCCTACATTCTAAGACATACGGCGAATTTATTTCCCACATTCAATTACTATGTTTAATGCTAGTGTGCTATTTTGCACTTTAGTCAACTACCATGTTTGCAATTGCTTTTCAAATTGTCCTAGGTAGTTTAATGGCTCTGTGTTACATAGCTGCAACTCGGTAGTAAAGCCCTTAGCTTTTCAATAATGTCTTTGTTCTCCCCCTCCCGCCACCTGCGCCCCTTACCCCCCATTCCACCCCTCTGCGCCTTTCCACAATCTATGCAGAGTTTACCAATTAGGAATAAACCTGGATTTCTTCTAATCTTAAAATTGCATAGATTGTGTAATACAGAACATAGATTTAGTTACATTTAGGGGGACGGACGGTGGTAAAACATTATATGTTAAATATACATGTCTTTTTAAGACCCACCCTTATAGAACGTTAAAATAGGGTGGAGTAAGGAGGGGAGGGCGGAGGCGGAGAAGGGATATGCGTTTCAGGATACAGGAAATACGGTAAGCGCGAAACCCGGAGGAAGCTCTGTGCCTGGAGGGGACCCGCCGCCATCTCAGGTCTCAGCCTCGCGGGGCCCACCACAGAGAGCTGACGCCCTGTCCTAAGAATCCTTATGGGTGACCAACCTTGTTTCTCCGGGAGATCCACGCTCCCACCTGGAAACACGCGGGAAACCAGGCCTCCAAAAAAGCGCTGCCTCCTAGCTCCACGGTGGGATTATCCAGAGGGAACCCCCAACGGAGGTAGTACCACTCTTCCCTCTGCACCTTCTCCTGCATCACCCGGCCTGAAGTCGCACCCTCCTCCTCCGGAGAAGTAGTAGAATGTACTTCTCCCACCCAAACCAGGTCAGATTCTTTCCTTCTCATCTGGGACATCCAGGCTCTTTGCAACTTAATTATGCACTTTCCCAGATCTCCTTCCCCTTTTCTCTATTCCCATGATTTCATAATAGAAAAACACAGTAAACAAACAAAAACCATACTGGCATTGAGTAGCTCTTTCACAAAATATGCTTGGGCAAAATTATGGATATTGAATGACATTAAGTAAATTATTTTTGATATTTTAGCTGTGATAATTGTTATATTTTTTTAAGAAATAGATTTAAATCTCTTGATGTTTAAAAGTAATTCAGTGGGGCGGAAGTGGGAGTTACAAACAAAATGTTATGAGTTGATGATAACTGGGTGATGTATACATGGAAATTCATTATACTGTTCTACTACTTTTGTGTATATTTGAAACTTTTCCATTGAAAAGAAAATCCTTGGTTCAAGATCAGTAACAACATATGGAAGGCCTCATTCCTATGCTAACAGGCTCAGTTCCTGTGCTAACGGAGGGTATTTTGAAGTGTCTTCAGGAGTGGGTTTCTCTGTATGTAGCAGGAAAATTTAATAAGTAAAAACAAACAAACAAACAAAAAAACAGTATGGTAAGTTAAACCCAAGGGCCATAATGTTTGCTTGTTCAAGGTATGCAGGGATCACCCAGGATGGACAAAGTCATTCTGCTTGGTAGTAATCATGACCCATCAAAAAGGAAAGGGGAAATTTGGGTGGTTCTTTAAAGGGTGAGTGACATCTGGCATGTGGAAGGGGAGAGAATGCTTTTCAGGCCTGGTGTTTTCAGGACAAAAGTCCCAAAGTGGGCTTATGGGAAAAGCTTGGGTGTAATTCTGAATCTTTGAGAAAGAAGGACTTGGAAGTGCAATAGAGTGTTGCAAGGCCTTGAATGTTACGCTAAGGAGTATGCAGTTTAATCTAAAAGCAGTGGTAACCATTGAAGATTTTCAATCAAGTGATATATTTTAGGAATCCAGTTTTTACCATCAGAGAAACAGTCTTCTATTTAGAAGACTTTATGGAATGCAAAAAATAAAACCAAATCTGACCCAAGGCTCACAGGTCCTTGTAATCCAAAGGAAGCAGGGCATCCTTTTTTCATTCATACAGTAAACCCTTATGGAACTCTTGCAATGGACAAGGCATTGTGCTGGGAGCTGTAGGGAATGGATGAGCAAGGCATAGTGCCTGGTACATAGTTGGAGTGAAACAGATACTTGAATAAATAAGTCAATAAATGCTAGGTTAACAGTGGCAACCAAGGAGGCTCTGGACTTGGGACTTGGTAACAGTGCATAGAAAAAGAATGAGCTTTTTTGCTTGAAAGCATCTTCCAGTCATTCCTTTACACTCTGATTTCCATCATTTTTACCTCAATGTACAAAAGGGTAGTGCTGGTAGAGGTTAGGGCATAGGGATAGCAGTGCTCATGTAGAAAACCAAGGATGTTGTGCAGGGAAAAAACTGCAAGAGCTACATAATTTCATCTAGTGATTCAAATCATTGAAAATTGTAATATAGCATATATTTACTGAACATTTTTTATGTGCCAGACACTGTTCTAAGGGGCTTCTAGAATCCACACTCTTAATTTGCAATAGACCCCTTCTAATATGATCTATATAATTGTTTTACAGGAATATATAATAGAAATGGGAGCACGGTGGAACATAAGGACTTGAGGAGGCCAGGGGAAAGAAACGTCCAAAAACAGAGGAAATAATTTTACCTTATTTTACTATCTTTTAGTCTCTGAGGGATTGCAGAATGACTCCATTTCCTTGGTGCATTCATAAAATGGTTCACCCTGTGAAGATGATGAAGACTATTGACAATGCTGCCCTGATTTTTCTGATGTCCTACACCAGGTAATTGTGTTTTTTAAGGTACTTTCTTTACCAAAAACTTATTAAGGGAGGAAGAGGAATAAGAGTTGTAAAAATAAATAGCCAAACAAAAAACAAAGCTAGCACAAAATGGTAAAATTGAAACTATTTTCTACATTTTATAAAACCATACATACCATATAATAATAATGTAATTTATAAGCTGCTTTGTTAAATTCACTCCTAATTTACCTTATAGTTTTTGTTGTTAGTGTGAAATGTATTTAAATTTTTTTTAATGTTTATTTATTTTTGAGAGAGAGAGACACAGAGTACAAGTGGGGGCAGGGTCAAAGAGAGCAGGAGACACAGAATCTGAAGCAGGCTTCAGGCTCTGAGCTGTCAGTACAGAGCCCGTTGTGGAGCTTGAACTCAGGACTGGTGAGATCAGATCTGAGCTGAGGTCGGATGCTTAACTGACTGAGCCACCCAGGCATCCCTGAAATGTATTTTTAAAACCAGATTTTCTGATTTTTGCTGGTAAATGGGAACATGATTGATATTTTTACATATTGATTTTATATGCTACAGATTCTCTGAGTTTTGTTCTGATAATTTATAGATTCTCTTAGATTGTCTATTAGCTATGTTGTGAATAATGGCAGTTTCTTTCTTTCAATATTTGTTTTTTAGCTTGTCTTACTGTGCTGGTTAGGACTTTCAGTACAATGAGAAATAGTAGCAATAGGAGATTTTCTTACCTTGCTTTTGAATTTACAGGGGAATTCTATAAATGTTTCACCATTTTTAGTAGATTTGCTTCTTCAGGATAAGGCAGTTTGTTTCTATTCTTAGTATGCTGAGAGCTTTAATTCTGAATGAATATGGAGTTTTTTTTCCATTAATATGACAGTGTGACCATGTGACAAATTACTATAATTAGTTTTCTAATCTGTTTCCTGCTTTTGGTTTCATCAGGCCTCACCATTGAATACTTTGTTTCCTACTTTAATAATTTTTGCTTTTATCTTTATTATTACCTTTTTTACTTGCTAATTTTCTAATTTATTTATTTGGACCTTTACCCAGTAATTTTCAATCTTTTCTAAAATAAGAATTTATGGTTATAAATCTTCCACTCTGTACAACTTCAGAATTTCACAGATTTATATATGTATTTTACTATCATTCAATTATAATTTCCCTCATTTCTGTTTTGACTCATGAGTTGTTTAATTTACAAACATGAGTCTATTTTTTAAAAATCATATTGTGAAATCATTAGTCCAATTACAGTTAACTTCATCTGGTTTTCTTCTTTAAAGTTTTTTTTTTTTTTTTATCTTTCTTATAAGACAAAGCAAAATTATATACCAGCTTCTCATTTCAACACATTTGGCCATATAAAACTTTTTCTTTCATTACATACATAGAAATGCATGTGCATGCTATTCAATGATGGAGTTATTCCTGATACATATATTTATGTTTTAAAAAATTTGTTTTAATATTTATTTATTTTTGAGAGAGAGAGACAGAGTGTGAGCGGGGGAGGGCAGAGAGAGAGGGAGACAAGGATTCCAAAGCAGGCTCCAGGTTCTGAGCTGTCAGCATGGAGCCCGATGAGGGGCTCAAATCTGAGCTGAAGTCAGACGCTTAACCTACTATATTTTTGTTTTTTAAAACTTTTCATTTTGATCTCATTTTACACTTTAAAAAATTTTGAGAATATTACAAAGAACTCCTGTATACCCTTAACCCAGATTCACCAATTAACATTTTCCCATACTTGGTTTTTCATTCTCTATTTCTCCCTCTCATACCTCTTCTCCTTCTCCCTTCCTTTTTTCCTCCCCCCCCTTCTCCTCTCCCCTACCTCTCCTTTTCTGCCTTTCTCCCTCTTCCTCTGAAATATTTAAGAATAACTTGTAGATATCATGCTTCTTGACTGGTAAATACTTCAGTACCTGTAAATACGTCAGTGCATATTTCTTCAGAAAGATAACCTTACATAAGGTTATACATAACCTTACATAACCTCACTACATGTGTCAAAATAGAAATTGACAATGTTCTAATTTTTATGTGTTTTGTATACCTTTATTGTCAAGATTATCCATTTATAAACAATGGAAAAGGGATGAATTTGGAAGAACACATATTTCAAGTGGACAATGAAAGCTGTATTATAGTTCTTTTTTGTCTTGCTTTATTGAAATATGTTTGACATACAATGTTGTGGTAGATTTCAGGTGTATAATATGATGATTTGCTGTATCTATATATTACAAAATAATTGCCACAATAAGGTTTCACACAGTCATCTCACACAGTAACCATTTTGTGAGTGTATGATGAAAACTTTTAATATCTATTCTCCATGACTTTTAAGTATACAATTTTGTTAATTATAGTCACTAGACTATAGTATTAACTACAATATTATATTGTATTTTGTATTGATTGTATTTTGTATTTGTATATTGTATTAATACAATATAGTATTAACTACAATACTAAATATAGTATTAACTACAATATTGTAGTATTAACTACAATAACTGTACTATACAATTGCATAAGTATATATAACTATACTATTAACTATAGTATAATGTACATCATGCTGTATATTAGATACCCAGAGCTATTATTCATGTTATAACTGAGAATCTATACCCTTTGACCACTGTCATCCATTTTTCCCACCCTCCCACCTCTGGAAACTACCAATCTACTCTGTATTTATGAGTTTGTTTGTTTGTTTAGATTCTATGTATAAATGAGATCACTCAGTGTTTTTCTTTGACTTATTTCAGTTAGTATAATGCCCTCAAGTTTTATCCAATGTGTTGGAAATGAAATGTGTTGGAAATGAAATGTGTTGGAAATGAAATTTCATTTCATTTCCTTTACCTGTTCATCTGTCAGTGGAGACTTAGGTTGTTGCCATGTCTTAGTTATAAATAATGATGCAGTGAACATAGGGGTGCAGATGTTTCTTCAAGATTAGTGATTTTATTTCCTTTAGATATATACTTGAAGTGGAATTGCTGGATCATATGGTAGTCCCAATTTTAATTTTTTGAAGAACCTCCATGCTATTTTACATAATAGATGTACCAGTGTACATTCCCATCAACAATGTACGAGGGTTCCCTTTTCTCCACATCTTCACCAGCATTTGTTATCTCTTGTCTTTTTTATAATACCCATTCTAACAAGTGTAGGAGATATATTGCTGTGGTTTTGGGGGTTTTTTTTGTTCATTTTGTTTTTCAAACTATGGTTTTGATTTGCATTTCCTGATGATTAGTGATGTTGAACACCTTTTAATGTGCCTATTAGCCATTTGCATATTTTGTTGGGAAAAAATTCAATTCAGGTCATTTGCATCTTAGTAAGTTGGATTATTTATTTTTCTTCTATTGAGCTGTATAAGTTTCTTACATATTTTGGATATTAATTCCTTATCGAATACATGGTTTGCAGATGTTTTTTCCCCATTCCATAGTTTGCCTTTTTATTCTTTTGCTGTGCAGAAGCTTTTTAGTTTGATGTAGTCACAACTTGTTTACTTCTTGCCTTTGTTGCTTGTGCTTTGAGTGTCAAATCCATAAAATCATTGCAAATTCCAATGTCAAAGAGCTTTTTTCCCTGTTTTTTTTCCCAAGGGTATTATGGTTTCAGGTCTTACCTTTAAGTCTTTAGTCAATTTTGAATTAATTTCTGTGAGTGGTATAAGTAAGATAGGGTTTCAGTTTCATTTTTTTATATTAATACCCAGTTTTCCCAGCATCATTTATTGAACAGACTATCTTTTCTCCATTGAGTACTCTTGGCTCCCTTGTCAAATATATGTATTGACCATATAAGTGGGGGCTTATTTCTGGGCTCTCCATTCTGTTCTGTTGGTCTATGTGTGTTTTTATGCCAGAAAAATACTATTTTGATTACTATAGCTTTGTAGTATAGTTTAAAATGGTGTTCCCATATTATCTAGGCCATATTCAAATTTGACCAATTGTCCCAATATTGTTTCTTATATTTATTTTCATTTCTTGGTTGAAGTTTCAATCCAAGATGATGCATTGCATTTAGTTGTTGTGTCTCTTCAGTTTTCTTTAACCTGGAACAGTTCAGTCCTTTTTTTTTTTTTTTCCTTTCATAACTATTGGCAATTTTTAAAAAATATAGGACAACTAGTTTGTATATTGTCCTTCAGTTTAAGTTTGTGTGCCTTTTCTTCACTATTATATTTGGATTATGCATTTTGGCAGGAATACCAGAGAAGTAATGTTGTATTATTCTCAGGGCACAGATCAGTGGCACATGATGCTGATTTGACCCCTTAAAAGTGATCTTAATCTTGATTACTTGGTCAAAATGATGTTTGCTAGATAAATCCACTCTAAAGTTACCATTTTCCTCTTTTTTAAAAAAATTTGAGAGAGAGAACATGAGCACGTGAGTGGGGGAGAGAGGCAAAGGAAGAAAGAGAGAGGATCTTAAGCAGGGCTCAATCCCACGATCCAGGGATCATGACCTGAGTGGAAATCAAGATTCGGATGCTCAACCAACTGAACCACACAGGTGCCCCAGCATTTTCCTGTTTGTAGTTAATAATTTTGCTGGGAATACTTTGAAACTGTGTAAACATTTTGTTCCTCATCAAACTAAAGTCCACTGGCTTTAATATCCATTGATAATTCTTGACTGAATTAGTATGATGGCTGCAAGATGGGAATTTTTAAACTCCATCATTTTTACTATGTTTATAAATTTGTATTCTATTTTAAGGAAGAGTTTTATTCTCTGTTTGTTTACTTATTGACCTTATTTTGGACACCTTCATTTTTACTTTATTTCATGAATATCTTATTGCTACCATTATTTATTTTAATGTTCAAATTATCCCAGACTTAACCAATGACAGCCCATTCAAGCTGGCTCCTCTGTCCATTTGATGTGCTCTCATCATTCTGATACATACTTTGACATCAGCATTTTCTTACTTCCTTACTTTTAGGCTTGTCTTTTAT